TTGTTACTACTAGTAAGGCACCTGTTACTACTAGCGTGGCACCTGTTACTACTAGCGTCGCTGAGCTTGGTACACGCTTGCGTTGAGCCAATCCAGCACCCCGCTCATTCGAGCCTCGGAGCCGAACGAGTCGTCGGTGACGAGTCGTCGGTGACGAGTCGTCGTTCTGACTCCTCGGTGACTCTAAGGCCGAAGCATTGACCCCATTCTTGCCAAGCTTGCCATTCGCATTTCCTCTCCAAAAGGAAGTCTGCCACTACCATACACTGAATCTAGGCTTGAAATACCAGCCAGTTTTGCGCAATGTTTGTGACACTCTGAGTTCTTTTCACTGCTGATTAATTGGATCCGAAACCAAACACATTTTTAAAAAGACGTCTAATAGCGATGGCCTCCAACCGACTTCTTTCAATGTGTTTAGCAACATCAACATGTCAAGACATGACCATGACATGGCCAAGACGTCATGGTGTAAGCCACACATCGTCCTTGTCTCGCCATTGCATGGCTGGGTGTTGCAAGCCGTGACTTCCTGACAGGAAGTTGAACATAGTCTGTAATAGCAATTGCCTCCAACCTAATAGCAAACATAGTAGAACATAGTCTGTAACATAGTATAACATCAAAATCAAAAGGAAAAATACGACAAATACCGGTGTCAAGTGCCAGGTGTGTTTGTGCTATTTTGTTTGAAAACGACTGCTCTTCCGGCTCTTCCGTGTCTTGGAGTGTAAAAAAGACGAAGTGACACACAACGTGACACACACGAAGTGACACACACTGTGACACTCCAACCTAACGGCACAAGCTATACTTTAAAAAAAGAACATGACACTAATAGCTTCTTGCTCCTAGTAGTAAGGCCAGGAGCCCCTAGTAGCGTCCTTGCTCCTAGTGGCGATGCCAGGAGCCCCTAGAAGCTATTTAAAAAATAAACTGTGACACTGTGAGAGAAAGCTGGAGCTTTCTCCTGAAGGGATGCAATCGGGCATTGGCCACCATTGATATTGTAGTGCACCAAGCGCCGGTGACGATACGATTGTCCACCGTGACACGACTTGTCACATTGTGTCCAACTGGACCACCTCAGAATCACCAAATCATGATTGGCCTCCCGAAGCGTCCTACCTGTTCGCCAAAAAACCTCAATGACTCAAAATGCAAACAACTAAAAACCAAGCAAAGCTATATGACCTTGCAAACATGCCATGGATTGCCATTGGTCTTCACAGCTCTGGATTTATTTGCACCATGCTGACCAGCCGCTCTGAGATCATGCAATCCTCCCCCTCCTCAGTGTTCAGTTCCAAATCTGTGGCAAGCAGAGCAAACACATGCATGTGAACTCATTTGAACGTCAGATGAATTGAACATGTTTCAGCATGGTAGCTACTAGTAACAAGGCCATCGCTAGTAGTAGCTAGAAGCTACTAAGCTACTAGAAGCGATGCCCTTGTTACTAGTAGCTTTTTGTTCCTAGTAGTGTGGCCAGGAGCCCCTAGTAGCGATGCCCTTGCTCCTAGTAGCGTCCTTGCTCCTAGTGACGTTCCTAGCGATGCAATTGTTACTACTAGCTTCTTGTTACTACTAGTAAGGCACTTGTTCCTAGTAGCGATGCTCTTGTTACTACTAGTAAGGCACCTGTTACTACTAGCGTGGCACTTGTTCCTAGTAGCTTCTTGTTACTGTCTGATGCAACTCTCAGGTCTTCACCGGTGGTGAACATCTTCCGGCCTGAGAAACACACCCGAGGTGACACGAAGCACGAACGGGCACTTGGAAGAAAAGAGGTCTAAAGGAACAGTCCTAGTAGCAAACATTGTTACTACTAACAAGTGCATCGCTAGTAGTAACAAGTGCCTTACTAGTAGTAACAAAAAGCTATTAGAATTAAACTAAATTAACATAAATTAATAGCTTTTTGTTACTACTAGTAAGGCACTTGTTTCTACTAGCGATGCACTTGTTACTAGTAGCTTTTTAAAAAACAAGAAATACCAGGTCTAACAACAGATTATGAACGAAAACAAGAAGGAACACAAAGGAACCAAAGAAGACGAACGTCCGAAAGAATGGATTGTGCCATGATTGTGCTCTTGAGGACTCCCTATAAAGCTTCTTGCTCCTAGTAGCGATGCCAGGAGCCCCTAGTAGCGTCCTTGCTCCTAGTAGTAAGGCCCGGAGCTACTACTAGCGATGCCCTTGCTCCCTATAAACGCTCTAAAGTCACGATCCGGCTGTGCTGCGCCACGCGGTGCCTGCCTCGACCAGGGACACATTGAATCCCATTCCCACGCCCTCCGGGCTCACCAAGACTTCTCTCCTCCTGAGAGGCGTGGTGTTCACGCGCCACGCGTGAAAAACAGACAGCGGATGTTCTTCCTTCTCCAACGCTACTCTCGGCTGTTTGCAATGGCTTTCTTTGGACCCAAAGCGGGCAAGTCCAGCAACTCCAGCCTTGTCCTTTGGAGAGAGTTCCCTGAACATGGTGACCATGTGGACCAGTGGCCTTGGAACAAGATTGCCAAATCATAGCAATTTGGGTTTATCGCAAAATCCTGTTCGGTCATTATGTTGAGCAAAAACCAAGATTCCCCTGAATCAAAGTGATGGAATACAGTTGCGAAACATGTAAACTCGTATTATTCTTGAATTCAATTCTATATACACCATGTCTATGTCTTTTCTTGTTTCTTGTCACCATAGTAACATAAGCTACTAGGAACAAGTGCATCGCTACTAGTAACAAGTGCCTTATTGGTAGTAACAAGGACGCTACTAGGTCTTGTCTCTTGTTTCCCAAGCGGCTGATTTGACTGTCTCGAGTTGGACACGCTTGGTCGTTGCAGGATCGGGTGTCGAGTAACGCATCGTCACAGGTCTGGCCACTCAAATAGTCCTCGAAAAACGAGAGGCAAAATACAAACACTCTGAATTTAAATGTAATATTGTTATAACAGATTAAATAACAAATAACAAATTTCTTATAAATCTAATCTAATCTTGTTATTTTGTTGTTGTTTCTTTTTCGCGCGTCCGCCGGGGGGGGTAGGCCGCGCTAGTAGAAATAAATGGGAGTCGCTAGTAGCTAGAGGTAGTCGCTTCTACCGACAGGATAGAAGCTTTAGCTCGCACGAATGATTTGGTTCGTTTACGGAAACTTAACGGAGGCCGGCAATTGTTTGGGTCGGATAGCTGTTAAACATCCAGTCTTGCTCCAGCAATCTTGTGACGAGTCGAGTCAGTGTTTTGCAACATGCCAGAACGTGGTCTCCTCAGAGGCTACCCGGCGCATTCGCGACTGATAGCCCTCACCTTAAGGGTTGAGCAAGGACAAATGTTGGCAAGCTGCTTTTTCAAACATATTCAAACATTATATATGTTGCATATTGAATCATGCTTCAATGACATTTGCTTGGGACGTACAAACATAAAAATGCATGAATAGGTCTGTGTCTTAAAGAGTTCGTTTTTACAAATAAGCGCTATTAGGTTGGAGGCCATTCCTATTCGGTTGGAGGCAAACGCTCTGCGTCTGTTTTCGTTGAAATATGCTCATTCTGCGTCACCGCAAGTAGTGGAGCATGAGGTCCATTGGTGCCATTCCCTCAGCCCGGATGTCGACAGGGCGAGAGGGAGGCACAGCTCGGCTGTTCTCGATTTTCCATGGGTTTTGCAAAGGGGATGATGCAATATATATAATATATATAGTAAATCCTTCCCTGAAAAAAAGGAATAGGACTCCTCACAGCAAAAGAACTCGAAACTTAAGTGATTGAACGAAAACTTAGATAGAAACAGAAGAACCAAAGACATGTTTGTTGGTTTTTGTTTTTATCGTTTTTTGAAAAACCTTTGGTCTTTCTCCAAGCGACGAGAAAATGCATGGTCGAGCCTCAGGGCCGCCACAGGGCCTGGTCTCCTTGATGCGGCCTTTACCTCACAGCGCGTGTGGAGGCCATCGCTACTAGGAGCAAAGGGAATCGCTACTAGGAGCAAGGACGCTACTAGGAGCAAGGGCATCGCTACTAGGGGCTCCTGGCATGGAGCAAAGGACGCTACTAGGGGCTCCTGGCATCGCTACTAGGAGCAAAGGACGCTAGGTGTTTGGCTTTGGAATTCTTTTTTAGGTCTGCTCTTGCAAAAAGCGCGTATGTCTAAAGGATTATGCTTTCCTGTTCTTGTTTACTAATTTCAAGGTGCTGGTCCTCGTGGGTTGCCTCGAGTTTCTTGCAATGTTAAGCCTAGAAAGAAGTCTAAAACTATCACAATCTGAAGAAAATGACCAAAAACATATGAAGAAATCCATCCATCTTTAGCTTATGGAATTCCTATTTGGATCTCACCAAGTTGCAAGCCTCACCTCCATTCAAGGAGTCCTTGTCGATGTGTCGGGAACGGACGGCCTGATCCACCTGAGGAAAACAAGCTTCGGAAGAAACGACGACGAACGGAGTGGATCACCTGTTACTACTAGCGTGGCACTTGTTCCTAGTAGCGAACCTTGTTACTACTAGTAAGGCACCTGTTACTACTAGCGTGGCACTTGTTCCTAGTAGCGAACCTTGTTACTACTAGTAAGGCACTTGTTACTAGAAGCGATGCACTTGTTACTAGTAGCGACCCTTGTTACTACTAGTAAGGCACTTGTTACTAGAAGCGATGCACTTGTTACTAGTAGCGAACCTTGTTACTAGTAGCAAGTGCCACGCTAGTAGTAACAGGTGCCTTACTAGTAGTAACAAAGAAGCTATTAGAATTAAGTTTAAAGTAAATTACTAGCTTCTTGTTACTACTAGTAAGGCACTTGTTACTAGAAGCGATGCACTTGTTACTAGTAGCTTCTTGTTTCTGATTTCGGATTTCGGATTCGACAAGGACTTCGAACGGAGCAGGGCATACTACGAACGGAGCATTTCGGGCATCGCTACGTTCGGGGCTCCTGGCCTTACTACTAGGAGCAAGAAGCTACTAGGAACAAAGGGCATCGCTACTAGACAATTAGCTTATTGAAATAGAAAAGAATGACACCAGTTAGTTGGAGGCCATCGTTAGTAGGTTGGAGGCCAGTGCCATTAAAAAAGAAAAGAATAAAAGGGAGAAAGTGGATCGGATCTGGCAGGGGGAGGGGAGGGTTCGGCCGGAGAGGAGAAATAGCTTCTTTCTGAGAAGGCTTTCCTTTTCTTTCTCTGTTTCTTTATGTTCCTCTTTTTCTTTAGAACGTCAGACCTTTTTCTTTCTTTCTCTTCTTTTTTTCTTTTGTTACCTGTTCTTTTCCATGTTCTTTCGAAGGAAGCTCGTGGGACTTCCTTTTTGTTGCCACATACCGGGCTCTGGTATCGTCGGCGCTTCCTGCCTGATTTTCGCACACACTCCACTGTGACCAAGAGGAGAAGACACAATCCTGCGACACAAGAGTTGAGTTTCATTGCAATCAAAGTGAGCATTTCCGTTCAGGTGTTTGTTCTGTGTCATGATATGTCCCGAAATATGGATATGTTCATGGGTGCTACTAGGTGGGAGGCTATCGCTGCTAGGAACAAAGGGCATCGCTACTAGGAGCGATCGGACGCTACTAGGGGCGCTCCTGGCCTTACTACTAGGAGCAAGGACGCTACTAGGAGCAAGGGCATCGTTACTAGGGGCTCCTGGCATCGCTACTAGGAGAATTCTTACTACTAGGAGCAAGGACGTTATTAGAAACAAGAAGCTACTAGTAACAAGTGCCATACTAGTAGTAACAAGGACGCTATTAGGAACAAGTGCATCGCTACTAGTAACAAGTGCCATACTAGTAGTAACAAGGTTCGCTATTGGAGGCCGTCGCTATTGGAGGTCCAAGACATCCAACTCTTCGTCCTGCTTCAGCAAGAGACACTTGGAGCGTAGGTGCGGAAGTGGCTCGGATTCCATCTTGGTCCCAAAGCAAGGCAATCCACATTCGTTGTTCTCTACCTGACACGAAACAAGAAATCCAAATGCGACAAATCCACTTGACATCCTGACCTTTACGACCCGACTCCTTTCACCGACTCCTTGAGTCCGACTCCTCGCTTTGACGCTTTCTTTCTGCGTTCGTAACACGAAACGTAGGAGCGTTCGGACGCTACGAACGGAACAAAGGGCAAACGTATATATCTAAAATCTAAAACTCTCGTCTGCTCGATTTGTCGCACCCGCTCCACCCGCTCCTGGATACTACGATGTCGAAATCTAAGACCAATGCAATCAGCTCCCTCAATCCACCTCACTGCACAGCAGTTCATGTGCGAAGTTCAGTAGATGTTGAAAATCTTGTTATTTTTCTCACGTTGCTCGTGAAAAATATGTTGCCTCCCACTTTCTTGAGACTCTATTTGTTAGTTTCGTGGATGTTTTGTGGAACCTCGTTTCTTGTGGAACATCTGGGGTCCCTGGCTTTGTCCATTGACTGAAGAGGCAGTCAACAGGCGTGCACTCAATGCACCTAGAGGGAATGCGTTGAAAAAGGATTCGTTACATTGAAGAGACATGATGGTTTTGTTCTTGGAAAACATCCGGAAAGAAAAAAGCATTGGCAAAACACATGTGTCCAAACAAGTGAGTTCTTTCTTTTCGAGTACGGTGCTCTTGTTGTTCTCTTTCGGAGTTTCGAGGAACATGTGACCGACCTCGGTTGGTCAGGGCATTGAGACCATTCTTCTTCGTGGCCGGCACAAAGGTGGTGCTCCACATGGACCTGAGCGATCGGACGCGAACGGGGCTCCTGGCATCGCTACGAACGGAGCGATCGGATGCTACTAGGGGCGCTCCTGGCCTTACTACAGTTACTAGGAACAAGAAGCTACTACAACCGTATAATTATGAGCAAAAGAACAGTTAGAGTCTCAAGAAAGTTGGAAGCAACCTATTCAATAGCGATGGCCTCCAACCTACTAGCAATGGCCTCTTATGCTGAGCCTGAGATATAAATTGATTTGTTTCGCGAACCTCATAAACACTAGTATGCTAGTAAGCATGTTTTAAGCAACTTGTAGCATGATTCTTCTGTATACAAGTACTTTAGCATATTTGTTTGACGCTCTAGTATATCTAGTACCATTTGTTCATTGCTTTCCTTCCTTTTCCTAGTATCTAGATGTAACTAGTAACTCCCTTATGCTCCCTACCTTGGCCCTTGCTGGCCCTTGCCCCTGCTTCGCTCCGCACGCGATCTCGGCCTCAGCCTCGCAGCCCCGATTCTTCTCCTTGCAGCAGAACGCCTTCTTCTCGGCCGTCCATCCAACCTGCCGGTCGAACCGTTAAGAACAGGAAGCTATTAGAAACAAGGTTCGCTACTACAAACAAGTGCCTCGCTACTAGCTAGTAACAAGTGCCTTACTAGTATATAGTAACAGGAAGCTATTAGAAACAGGCCATTGCCGTCCTAAGAGCACTACGAACGTAGCAACGGGCATCGCTACGAACGGAGCAGGGACGCTACGAACGGGGCTCCTGGCCGTACTACTAGGAACAAGAGGACGCTACGAACGTAACAAGAAGCTACTATAATCGTATAACTAACTAGTAGCTTCTTGTTACTACTAGTATGGCGCTTGTTACTAGTAGCGATGCACTTGTTCCTAATAGCTTTTTATTACTATAATCGTATAACTAACTACCCAGTTGGATGAACCGCAAGCACTGCGCCTGCCAATTCCAAAAGCCTGCATCGCAGTCATATTTCTGCTCACTGCTGCAACCCATGGCAAAGTTCCTGACAAAAGACACCAAAGTGTCCAGTCAAACTCAAACGCAAGACACTTTTCCATGATAGGACAGAACGGACGCCTGCAACACCACTGCTGCTTGGCTGCTGGCCAGGACACCTGCAAAGGCAACGCCGTCCAACCTACTATCAATGGCCTCCACCCTAGTAGCAATGTGCTTATGAAAAAAATCTGCCTTGCTGTCTTTTGATTCATCTTAAGAAGCTGCAAAAAGCCTACGGTCTCTTAAGAAGCTAGGCTGGAGGCCATGGCTCTTAGTTTTACAGAAGGGATTGTCATGGGGGGTGGGTTTTTAATTCATAGGTTTTTCAATCATTTTCTAGTTAAGGAACATGAAAAGCCTGCAGAGGATCAAAAAAAACAAGAAACAATTTTCTGAGACTTTCGACGAAAATAGAGAAGTCTGCAGAGGACCAAAAAAACCAAAAAAAAA